TAAGAATGTGTACATAAGCACAATAAACCCACAGCTCTGACTGTTCACTGCTTGACCCTCAACACTGAGCTTTGTCTCGTTCTTGGGGGGATTTATTGTATGCTGTTCCAGTTTGACTGCTAGGAGTGTAAACCTATTCGTATGGTTTTTCCTATTCGGCTGTTTATGGCATTCATATGGTTTCCTGTTCGGTGGATTGGTGTTCTGCAGTAGCTGTGCCTGTGTCTCTGGAAGGGAAGATCTACTAAACGGCGGTTTAACCCTTTTATGCTGAGGGTGCCGTTACAGACGTGCTTGCCAGCCTCCTGCCCCAGGACTATGGCCCCTGCAATAGACCTTGGTTAATATACTTTAAAAAGGCTTCGTTCGTGCAATTGGGATTATATGGTTCGGGAACCAAACAGCCGCATGAACCATAGACTACCCGGGAGCTTGTTAAGCCCTATTAACACTTGGTAATGATTCTAACCGCAGTGTTCTAATTGTCTTTTTGGGTGGCCACTGTTCGCATGAACAGCCATGAGGTGGTGACCATCTTGTTTGGTCGTTGAGTTCCTGGAACTAAAATCGGACACAGAAACTCCTTAACACTGCTGGACTTCCATCATCACCTGCGTTTGGTTCTAAACAACTTACAAGGGCACTGTTCTGTGGAATCGTTCATTGGATGAGGGGAACAAGCTCCAGGGTAAGAACATTGACTATGTTAGGTAGTTTGTTCGGTTTTTAAACTACCGAACTAGACCGACTGCAATCCCTGATTCTCTGGAACTGTTTTGGGCAGGAGCCTCATGTGCAGTCTGTCAAATTATGACTTCCATGAAAATCCCAAAGCCCTGAACCGATCTGGGTGATTTTTGGATATGTTGATCCCCCAGGTCGGGTTATCATGGGGATGTTTCCATGTGTTTTGGGGGTACTTTTGGGGTATTGCAAAATGTATGTTTTCTGTACCTGGAGATAATTGAGTTTAGTAGTTTCTGACTCAATTACAGGGGAGGAATTATCATGTTTTGTGTGGAAGTGTCCTGGACCTGAGAGCCAATGTCATTACAGTGTATACTTTGTCATAGTCCCCTCCCAGGTCCAGTGGGGAATGCCCCTGGAATATGTACGGTAAACCCCATGCATGGGGACTTTCATATAAGGCCAGTTGTGGCTCCCATTAAACAGTTCAACTTCACCCTCAACATAGAGCCTTGTTACATGATTGTAGGGAACAGCTACACCAGCTATATCACTAGCTCTTGTAAGAGCTATCCTGCTATACTCTATGTAGGGGGAGGTCTACCCACTGGAAGCTGGATCCCTGACTTGGGTGCAGGGTGGGTGGAGGACAGCGAGACCCCAGCCAAGCTGCGGCGGCTAAGGGTCTACAGTGCTGATGGTGTCTGGTGTGGTGCTTATAGTACTCAAGGCTTACTAGGAAGTCGGGGTGCCAGGCGGTCTGTCACAGCAATTATATTCTAAATTAAATTTTATCTGAAAAGCCACAAATAATTTATAAAGGGGCACCAAATCTAAGGAAAAAATGGTACAAAAATATATTTAAAAAAAAAGACCCCACACCAGCTTTTTTCCAAAAAATCTGGTTTCTTTGGATGTGGTGTTTGTTTGGCATATAGTAACACAAATAAGAGACACATTAGTAATTTTCAAGATCCTCATGTTAAAAAATAAAAGAAATAAAATTAAAGAATTGCTAACATGCTATTCAAAAAATGTAGTCTTTATCCTCCGGTGCCCATGTGACCTTGTGTATGTAGGGAGAAACAAACGCCCCTCCACACAAGAAACATAAAAAAAAGGATATGAGAAACATAATGTATCTTTACATTTTAAATAACACCACAACAGTCATCCACAGTTTTTAGAATTTCATGGTATTGTGATAAGGTGAATGGGGTGGTCTGTGAGGGAGTTTATATTTCGACAGAATTGTTCAGAGAGGCATATGATTTTTAACCCCAGGGGGAGTGTATGTTTCTGTGTATGTAACCAGAATGAATATTTAGTTATGGGCCCCTGGGGTGGGGCATTTGGAGAGCAGGGTGGGCCAGTGCTCCACTCCGCAGTTTAGCGGTTTTCTTGGAAGACATAGATCCAGCCCAGGGTTTTGGACTGTCTCCAACCTACTGCTCAGCTGCAGGTAATCGGCTGCAGCAGTGGGAATAAATCCCTCCCTGCTAGGCAGGTAGGGAGAGAATGTTTTGTTTCTCTCTGAAAGGCTGGAAGCAGCAGGCTGGCTAAATACTGGAGTGCTGAGAGTGGACAAAGACTCTAGGTTGGTGAAACCAATATTGTTTTGTTTAGTTTAACCCTGAGAGATAGGGAACCTAATGTCAGTTAGTGCTCAGACGAGCTAGGTTTTTGTTTATAGGGTTTTCTGTTACATTTATGTTTTCATTTTCTGCTGTATCCTGTGTGGATTTACAAATAAAAGGCCTGGAGTATATGCAATTACAAGGACTGTGCCTATTGTTTACCCTAGAGGACCGAGCTACCTGCAAACAAGGATCACCGTATCCAAAAAGTGTGTACCAATTGGAGAGGTGCAGATATAGTGAAGGATCTAGGCCAAGCGGAGATGAGGTGGATTTTCAATTTAGATACCTTCAGCCCTCATGGTCTCAACGCAGATTTTTATTATGTAATTTTTTTTATAGATACTATTTATTTAATTTAAAAAAAAAGATTAAATTTCTTATTTTTTTTTTTTAAATAAAATTCATTTTGTTTAAATATAAAATTTTTAGAACCATGTATTGAGGTCACCCTGATTTTTTTTTCTGCCCGAGTCTACTATCCTTCACTACATTGGTGGTTCCACATAAGAATTTTAGAACATGATGTTGAAGGGACACTATAACAACTTTAGCTTAATGAAGCAGTTTTAGTGTATAGATCAGACCCCTCCTGTCTTACTGCTCAATTCTCAGTAATTGAGGAGTTGAATCACTGTTGTTTCTGTTTATTCAGCCTTAGACACAGCTTCCGGGGCTGTAACTCACACAACCTGCATTAAAAAAATGGTTTCATTTTCAATTAGATGATAACTTGCTCTAGATGTTTCTGTCTCCTACTCTGTAATTTGAACTTTAATTACATACATGAGGCTTCTGCAAGGTCCAGCACGCTATTAACATAGCAGAAGATATGAAATTCTAAATTAAAAGAATTTGCAAAAAATGAAGTGTAAACATTAGCCGACTCTTTACAGGAAGTGTTTAGGACGGCTGTGTAAGTCATATGCAGGGAGGTGTGACTAGGGCTGTATAAACAAAGTGATTTAACTCCTATATGGCAGAGAGTTGAGCAGAGAGATGGCAGGGGCATGGTCTAGACGTTAATACTGCTTCATTGAGATAAAGTTGTTTTGGTGACTATAGTGTCCCTTTAAATAATTTTTAAGACATTATTTTTATGCAAAGATTTAATATTCCCAATCAAGGAGTTATTTATGGTTTTATATATAGTTTGTGTATTCCTTTTATAGTTTTTCATATTCTATTATATTTAGAATTTATTGTCTTAAGGTTATTTCTTTTCTAAGAATATATTGCACTATTATTGTTCCTTTTTTCTTTTATTTTTTCTACTGTTTTGAGATACCTGACATTGTCTAACGAGAAAAAAAGGCTATTGTAACGGGTATGTGTAACGGATCACCTGGCACCCCGACAAGGTACCTCCTATGAAGGATACTCCTAGCGCTTCCTGAGGGCTCCAAGCACTCCAGCCAACACCACAACCACCGCAGGCCAAACCTCTCTTCCTTCAGAGCGAAGCAGGAACAAACTCTTACAAGAGCTTAGTAGTGATTTAGCAAGGGAGTATGACAAGCATAGCAATCCCTTGCAGCAGATTCCCCCAATTAGAGACGGCACTCCAAATTAGGGGGACGTAGAACAGAAGCTTTTAATCCAACACTCTGCTTTTATGCTCATTCTACAAACATAGTACCGCCCACAGGGTTTTGCAGAACAACCAATCAATACGTACAATACACACAGACACTCCCACACAAAATCCTCCCCTCTGCCTGTGATATAATTACTGCACACAATGAGTTAACATAATTATCACAGGCAGGATTCAGTTTTACACAATATTCATAACTTTAAAAGTATACATCACATTCACATACATTTTTAGAATCAGCATACTCCAAATACAAACATACTCAGAAATCAGGCAATTCCTTCTAGGGGTTAAAAGGTTAGCTGGAAATCCTTTGTGACCGCCTGCAAGCATGGCTTTCCAGCCCAAACCTGTTCCACAGAGTCCTCTATCCTGGAGATAATTGGCTTAACTGGGTGTGGTAAGCCAACTATCTCCAGGTACAGAAATTATCTCTATTTTCAACAACAGTAAAAATACACAAAAATACATAACGCCTATCATACTGAACAGAAACATAGAAACATAGAATGTGACAGCAGATAAGAACCATTCGGCCCATCTAGTCTGCCCAATTTTCTAAATACTTTCATTAGTCCCTAGCCTTATCTTATAGTTAGGATAGCCTTATGCCTATCCCACGCATGCTTAAACTCCTTTACTGTGTTAACATCTACCACTTCAGCTGGAAGGCTATTCTATGCATCCATTACCCTCACAGTAAAGTAATACTTCCTGATATTATTTTTAAACCTTTGTCCCTGTAATTTAAGACTATGTCCTCTTGTTGTGGCAGTTTTCTTCTTTTAAATATTGTCTCCTCCTATTAAATTTTTTATATATTTTTTTTTAAATAAAATTAATTTTGTTTAAATAGAAAATATTTAGAACTATGTATTGAGGTCACCCTGATTTTTTTTTTTTTTTTTCTGCCCGAGTCTACTATCCTTCACTACATTGGTGGTTCCACATAAGAATTTTAGAACATGATGTTGAAGGGACACTATCCCCAGATAGCTTGGATCTAAGCGCTCAATATATCCGAACAGTAGAGATGTCGCGAACCGTCTGCAAACTTCTCGCGAACGGTTCGCCGCGGTTCGCCACACATCCCGGCCAATCTCCGGCAGACCCTCCCTCCCAGACCCTCCTACTTCCTGGACAGCATCCATGTTGAAGGCAGCTTCAACATGGATGCTGTCCAGGAGGTGGGAGGGTCTGGGAGGGAGTGTCTGCCGGAGATTGGCCGGGATGTGTCAGCTGACCGGAGTTCGCCACTAACGGTTTGTGGTGATCCGTGGTGAACCGTTCGCGGACGGTTCGCGACATCTCTACCGAACAGCGCTCAGATCCCGCGAACAGAATAAAATCGCCATGGGGTTAAAGTTTAGCATGGGCTGCTGAGAGGTTGAGGAGGGACAAAGCAGATAGTTTCATTTAAAGGGCCAGAACAGTCTTTTAAATGCCAATAAGTTCAAATGCTGTTTTTAAAGTGCCCAATCTCCCAGGGGCCATAGTCCCAAGGCATGAGGCTGGCAATCAGTCCCCTCCAAAAACTAGTGGCGAGGTCCCTTTCGCCACAGTATGTATATATGCTCTATGTGTGATCTCTTAAGGGTTACAATTTATTTTATTCATGGTCATCTATTGTTTGTTTTGATGTATCTGTATTTTCACAAGGTTTGTGAATCCTTGTATGTCTGACTGCTACCTTTTACATACGTATATAGTAGGCACCTATATTTGCATTGTTTTTCTTGACTAAAGGCTAACCTTTAGTTTTTTTACAATTTTGGCCACTTCTGCAGAGTACCACAATGGTTTCTTAATTTTTTGCTTTTACTGACAAGTCACCAAAGGCTAGTCCTTGACTAAATATAAAAAAATGGATGTTATTTCTATTGGGAACTATGTGTCCTGTCTGGTTGATTCTAGCATCCAGGTAACAGAGTTTTTGGACCTGCTTGCTGGCTTCACTGGTCCCTGAATCCCGGGACGTGTTAAGAAAGAGCTAAGCAAAGTGCCTTTGTAAAGACAGTAGTTGGAGATAGTGTAGGCAGAGGTGTTCATATCTGCCTGGGAGAAGAATAGAAAAGGTAAAGGCAGAGGGGACGTTACAGGCTTGCAAAGAGCTGCAGCCTTGGCAGAAGGAAGAGGTCCTCAGAGACCCCAGTTAAGCTTTGTCCAGGTAGCAGAGAGTAAGATCACCTGGTCGAGGTACTAAGTTGGAGTACGGGAGTTCTGCTACACAATATGGATTTTGTTTGATGATGTGTGCATCGTAGCATACATTTATGACATCATCTGTTTCTTTAACCAATCACAGCCAAGTATAGGGTATACATATTCAGGATATCCCCGTTTCCTTGCCCAGTCATGAATTCTTGTATCCCCCAGAGTGATTTTCTATAAGTCATGAATTGTAACTTTTTGACCTTTCTGGTCTCATCAGCATGGCCCTAGTTCGGATGTAGTAGTTTAGGTGTCTCATTGTTAGCATTTAGCTAGTTGTTAAAAGGGTTGTGGTGAGACCAAACACAGTAAAACTTCCTACAATTTTATGCAAATTTAAAAAAATACTTTTGTGCTTTTTCTGTATGTTTCAATATGGACCTTAAAAAAGTCCAACTTGGGTACGGAAACTCAAGAAATTGTTCCCACAATTATCCACCCTTAGGATTTGTAAAGCCCTGGATAATATATATTAATGAGGTCCCTTTCTTTGAATTATAAAGCTAAGTGACTGCATGTAAAAACAGAAAGTATAAAAACTATTAGCAACATTCTTAATGTTCTGAAAAGTGTCCATTTACCAAATCTTGGTCTCCCATGACATTCACAATAAAAAATATAACCATTTACCTCAATACTTGGAACCTACATCTCCCCTAAGGATCTACCGTCACCCAGAGAAACTGCCATTTACAATCAGACACACACACACACACATGAGACATACACAGACTCACACGCACACAAACCAATAGAAACATATATAACAAATGTATGTAGACAAATACTGAGGAATACACACACATTCACCCTAAAACTAACTCTAGTCCCAACATAAACCCTACGTTAGATTTGAAAAATTAAAGATGACTCTAATCTTAAACAAATCCCAGTGCTAACCCTACTGATAATCCCCACCTTGACCATAAGCTTAGCCCTCGTGATTTACAACAGCTTTAACTCAAATAAAACCCTTAGCCATAGCCTTAATCCAAAACCTATGCCCCAACCTTAATTTAACATGAACCCTAATTCTAATCCTGGCTTTTACCCTATCCCTAATCCGAACCTCAAATCTAACATTACTCTAATACTAACCCTTTTGCTATCCCTAACCAAGCTCTCTCCTTAACCATATGCCTAACACAAGTTCTAGATCTAGCTCTAGTACTGGGTTTTATCTAGCCCTAGGTTCGACCATAGCTCAAGTCCTAATCCTACCTGAGTCCAATCCTACCACTAACCTTAGCTGTAACCAGAGCACTATTCCAAAACCAATCCCAACCCGTAGCCTAGCTCTAGACTAAGTCCTGACCTTTTTCCTATATATAGGAAACACAAATCTAACCCTTGACTTTAAAGCTAGTATTAATTCCAGCTCTAATCTTAGTCCTAACTCTAATCCTAGCATTAACCCTTACATAGGACCATCTTAACAAATAGGAAAAAAAATCTCTAAATCACATTTCATTTCAGTTCAACAATTCTGACTTTCAATTCCTGGCAATTCACCCATTAGAAAATAATCCTGATATGTGTTGGTAGAAGACTCCTTTGTTGGTGTTTGCCAGGTTTTGTTTGTTGGTGCTGGCCTGGTTCAGTTTGTTGGTGTTTTTCAGGTTCTGTTTGTTGGTGCTTGCCAGGTTCTGTTTGTTGGTGTTTTTCAGGTTCTGTTTGTTGGTGCTTGCCAGGTTCTGTTTGTTGGTGTTTTTCAGGTTCTGTTTGTTGGTGCTTGCCAGGTTCTGTTTGTTGGTGTCTGTCAGGCTCTGTTTGTTGGTGTCTGTCAGGCTCTGTTTGTTGGTGTTTGTCAGGCTCTGTTTGTTGGTGTTTGTCAGGCTCTGTTTGTTGGTGTTTGCCAGGTTCTGTTTGTTGGTGCTTGCCAGCTTCTGTTTGTCGGTGTTTGTCAGCTTCTGTTTGTCGGTGCTTGCCAGGTTTTGTTTGTTGGTCAAATAGATGATGGCTCAGCGCTAAGTGATCTAATAGAAGCTTAAGGCGGGTGGGGAAGCAGCAACTTATAAATATGAGGTTCCCTCATACAACCTCAAAGGAAAGAGAACAGACAAAAACGGTGTATAGGTCGCGCTGTAAAAGCAAAGGGATAATATATAAAATAAATACATAAAATGTGTAAAAGTCCCAAAATATTAAATCAACCCGTAGGATGCTTGAATATGTATAGAGTCCAATGAATATCTAAATCTTCTTGTACTGGAGATGTCTTGATTCACTCGTTGATATGTGGCTACATAAAAAGACAAAGAAACTCCAATAGTGCAGATAGAATGTCGACGAGTGGGCAAGTGGAAATCCACAAATAGATAAAACACTCACCTATTTAAGAGCGTAAACTAGCTCAAGTATTCATAGCATTCAGTGGCATCAATCCCCCACTGGTTGGATATAGGTGGTGAAATTCTTGAAAGCTCCTTAGTATATAAAGAGATAAGAGACGGTACATAGTGCTCACTGTATTCATTTAAAATACAAAATAAAAGTAGTAAAATACTCACATATATATGAGCAGGATCTACTGCTCAATGTAATAGCGTAGGTGGTACTATCCCTACCTATGATTCTTGGGTAGAAGAGTGCTCCAATTCAAATTGGTGACCAGATATTAAAACAAAAGATAAAATAATAATAATAAAAGGTGTATAAAGGCAGAAAAAAGAGCCAATATTCCTTTATTAGTAATTGTAACGGACCGTTTTGCACACAAGAGGTTAAAAAGCGTTTAGGCGATATTCCCCTTTCAGATGCACAGACAGCTACTGCAATCACCAATCTCCCGAACTGCAAACTACACGAATTCTCCAACTCCTGAACAGGAAACTCATGAATACTGGAAACAGCTGAACAGGAAAAACCATACAAAAGGTTTACACTCCTGGCAGTCAGCATACAATCCAATTTCCCAAATAACGAGATGACACTTCGTTTGAGGGTTAAGCAGAATCTGACTGTACTGGCACATACAGCCTCTTTTATTCACAATCCACAAACTTAGTACTGCCCACAGGGTTTTACAGAAAAACCAATCAATCTGTACAATACCCACAGACACTCCCACACAAAATCCTCCCCTCTGCCTATGATACAATTGTCTTACACAATGGGTAATCTAATTATCACAGACAGAGAAATACAGTTTCATAAAACACATCACAGGGACCCCAAAACATGCAATAACCCCATAAAGTATATCCTTAGAACCGGGGGATCTGGGTGAACCACATATCCAAAATTCACCCAGATCCGTTCGGTACTTTGGAAAATACAGTTTAATGCAGATTCTGCAGAACATATACAGGCTAAATGAAAAACAATCACTGTATAATGTGTCCCCTGCTGTATAGTCCAAAACCACTGCACGATGTCTCTGTGCACCAAATACTGGCGAGATGGCACTGTGTTGAAAAGTCCACACAGTGTCTGTGAGTTAAAATGGCCGCCATCCATTGTTCTCACAATGTGCTTCTGATACAGGAAATGGTGGCCACCCAGTAACTCCACAGTATGTCCCCAGATGGTTCTTAAAGGGCCAGCAGCAGCACAACACAAATCCATTATGCCCAAATCATGTCTTTAAAGGGCAATCCATCCCAGGGGCCATAGTCACATGGCAAGAGGCTGGCAACCAGGCTTCTCCAGTGCATAGTGGCGAAGTAGGTTCCGCTACACTAATATAAAATATTAATATAAAAACAGCCAAAATGCGTTTCACCAAACAGGACTTATCAACTGGCATTAAAAGAAAGAAAATCCTGGTACAATAAATACTTATATAAGCTAAAAGAGCAGATGTGGATTCAAATTTTGGCGCCAATATGACGTCACTAATAGAGTGTAAACGGAATTTCAAAATTGCAAAACTTAAAATTATTGTTATTAAAATATTTCTAAGGACAATCCAATTATATTGATATGCTTTAAAATTAAAAACGAGCATTTGTTATTAAACAGCACTTCGAGATGTTTAAAGTATTGAAATCACATGACCGCGATCACGTGATATAGTTTTGGGGATT